CCAGTCTTCTTCCTATGCAGGTAACACCCTACTTGTATTACCATGGTCTTCCAAGTAGGATATGTAATACGTCTGACGTCACACCAGACATCCAACTTTCACTTCCCGAACTCCAGGTGCACCTTCTCACCCTTGACTCATGATATGAACCAAGAGACATCAATCATACAATATGCTCCAATGAAGATGTGAAGAAAATATTGTTGAAATTATCAAAAGATATTTCAATTGAAGAAGATTGAGAAGAATGAAGTTTCATGTGGTAAATTTTGGGTGGATTACGATTTAGAGTTATTGTATTTCATTAATGTATTTCAAGAGTTTTTATTTACTTTAGGATACAATTACATAATGGTTTAATTACGGCAATTAAGTATGAATGTTACAACTCTTGGAATGTCTTTAATAGTTTCATTTTTTAGGCTATATAACGCCTTGTATGTTGTATTTGTAAGGAGACTTGAAAAATATAGTAAAAGAAGTGTTTTTCTTTAGCCAATGGCTAAGTTTCTTTGCAATTCTATGTAGTTTAGGTTGCATGTAGAATCATTCAAGCTCGACATGATCAATCTTGCTTGTGGAGTGATTCGAATTTCAAACAAGTGTTTGAGATATTTGATCAATAAGAATCATTCAAGCTAGACATGATCGATCTTGCTTGTGGAGTGATTCGAATCTCAATCAAGTGTTCTTGCTTTGAGATATTTGATCAACAAGGTAATCCGAATCTTACTCCCCTTGTAGTGATTCTTTATCATATCAACTCACTTCTTCAACATTTATAAAAAAGCCCACAGCTCGTGCCTTTTTTTATCTGATTCGATAGGGCTCTTCCAGAGTCAGAGCCCCCTGACTTAAAAGCTTAAAAGGGCAGTTGCCCTAATTGATCCACCATTCTCGTGGACGCTATGTTATCCGAGCTCCCAGAATCAATGATCATCTTTGCACTAGCCAATTCCGACATAGATTCGGAATACTGTCTTCCGTCTCCTCCTTCTTTCTGCTAACGTTGGCTCACGTTCTTGAAAATTTCGTTTCAGTAGGCTCCACATGTTTTGACCTTGCGTCTGAGTTATATAGCGAGGAAGACTTCCTAGAAAAAATAAATAATTTAAATTAGAGAAGCTAGAGCAAGAAGATTAAAGAACTAACTTAGGTTTGTTTAACCTATAGTTTTGTTTAATTATAAATAAAACTAAAGTTGATTCCAACGTTTTTCGCTGTATGAGCGAAACATTCATTCCCAACAATATATTTCATATAGTGGAGACGTTCATCAGAAATTGTTAAGGATATTTAGTAATAAATTATAGTTTATCATATATATTATATTTGATATTTTATTATAAGGCAAATATCTAACATTTGCCTTATTACTATAGTATCTTTCCATTTATTGTTATTTCCATTTATTACTATTTCCATATCCTTGTAATTTATTTTATTATAAATAAGATAACTTTCACACCATTTAGGTGTGGTGGATTAATCAAACATTCACATGGTATCAGAGCCATTTTGGTTTAGCAACCCGGATTCTTTCTTTTCAATGGCTTTTGAAATCTTGTACTGTTCTTCTCCACCACCACTGTTGGCTTTGACGCCGCAGGGGCAGTCGTCATGGCTGCCACATGCAGAGCCGATTGATTATTCTTCGGCTCCACCCTTTTGACCTCCAAATCATCCTTCGCCATACTCTGTACATACAACCTCACCTTTTCCAAACATAGCCTCTTTCATTTTCTTCCCAATTTTCCCTTCATCCTTCATCCTTCATCCTTCACAAAAACCCTAATCTTAGGATCTTCATCAGCATTCCTCTTCGAAAATATACAGAATCTCAATAAGCCCATCAACCTTTTATAGAGATTTACCTTTGGAATCTGGGTGCCGCACTGGCATCTTCGCCAACCAAGTTGCCGCCGCCCTTCTCGCCAAAATTGGCTCCTTCGCCCCAATGTGGCGACTCTTCCAGCTGCCCTTCTCGCCAAAATTGGCTCCTTCGCCCAATGTGGCGACTCTTTCGGCTTCAACATTGTCTTTGTCCCTTGCTCTAGGTTTCCCCTTCTACTTCTTGGGGTTAGACATATTCTCACCAGAGCCAAGTCAGCATCGTCGCTAAACGACAATCCCTCTTCATGGGTTAGACATATTCTCACCGAAGCCAAGGCAGCATCGTCGCTGAGCGGCGATCTCTCTGCAGTTTTCGATGGCCAAGAAAGTGTTTCTCTACGCCTCCTCTGAACCAGGTTGTTAACATCTTCACGAAAAGTGTTTCTCAACCTCTTTGAATTTTTCAGATTCAAGCTTCACGTTCGTTTAAATCCGACGCTTAGCTTGCGGTGGGGTGTTAAGGATATTTAGTAATAAATTATAGTTTATCATATATATTATATTTGATATTTTATTATAAGGCAAATATCTAACATTTGCCTTATTACTATAGTATCTTTCCATTTATTGTTATTTCCATTTATTACTATTTCCATATCCTTGTAATTTATTTTATTATAAATAAGATAACTTTCACACCATTTAGGTGTGGTGGATTAATCAAACATTCACAGAAATAATAACGTTGTCGATGATTAGTCTATCAATAATAAAAGCACTTTTGTTGACAAATATGACTTGATCAAGAACGTCATGTATCCTAATTAGTAAGTCTCACCTCGTCCATTTTTCCTTTATATATGTCGTTCGGTTGGATTTTTTGGACATGTTTCCTAGAGCTGTTTTTGGTGTTATCGGAGGCAATTGAGATGAGTACAGCTACTCTTTCATCAATTTTAAGTGTGATGTCCCACGTTGGTTGGGGAAGAGAACAAAACACCATTTATAAGGGTGTGGAAACGTTCGCCTAGCAGACACATTTTAAACCCTTGACGGGAAGCCCGAAAGGGAAAGTCCAAAGAGGACAATATGTGCTAGCGGTGGATCTGGGTCGTTACAAATGGTATTAGAGCTAGACACCGGACGATGTGCTAGCCTTCTTGCTATTCCCCGAAGGGGGTAGACACGAGACGGTGTGCCGGTAAGAACGCTGGGCCTCGAAGGGGGTGGATTTGGTGGGGTCCCACATCGATTGAAGAAAGAAAAGAGTGTCAGCGAGGACGCTGAGCCCTGAAAGAGGGTGGATTGTGATCTTCTCGCTATTCTCCGAAGGGGGTAGACACGAGACGGTGTGCCGGTAAGGACGCTGGGCCTCGAAGGGGGTGGATTTGGTGGGGTCACACATCGATTAAAGAAAGAAAAGAGTGTCAGCGAGAACGCTGAGCCCTGAAAGAGGGTGGATTGTGATGTCCCACGTTGGTAGAGAGGAGAACAAAACACCCTTTACAAGGGTGTGGAAACTTTCCTAAAGGGTCTCTTGAGGGAAGCCCGAAAGAGAAAGCCCAAAGATAACAATATCTACTAGCTCCCGAAAAACCCAAAGAGGACAATACCTGCTAGTGGTGGATCTCGATGTCGTGGACCCATCTAAGTTGACTCAAATTACAAAAGATAGATCTAGACTAACACAATGATAATTTTACGACCCTAACTTAAATCAACCAACTAAGTGGCTTTACTATTGTCTTGGTTGGATGAATTGAATGAAGTATGAATAACATGTACGAACAACATGTGCTCTAATGTTCTGTGTTATGCTATGACTTATGTTATGTTGATGTATACTATGACCTATGTTATGATATGTTATATTGTAAGTTAGGTTATGAGACGTTTATGTGGCGGAATTTGGTGCGACTTCCATGTCATATGATGCATAATACCTCTATATGATATCTCATGCACACTACGTTAGGCACATTGACTTAAGGATTACGAAATAATGTTATGCAACATATGTATTCATGAAAGTATTATTTAAGAACGAATGTACAACTAGTATCATACATTTATGTCATGATTTAAAGTTATGAAGACCTCATGTATTTTTGTATGTCACATGCATTAGGATGTTTATTCATTATGATGAGTACGAACACGTGCATTACGATATCTATCAACGTCATGATATTATGTGGACTCATTTCTCTTGTGGGTTCGACGACATGAGCGTGCACTAGCTGAAGGATAAACCGAGCGGATACGTATGCATCTACCTTGGGTGATATGAACCAAGAGACATCAATCATACAATATACTTCAATAAAGAAGAGAAGAAAATATTGTTGAAATTATCAAAAGATATTTCAATTCATGCAAGCATTGAAGAAGAACGAAGTTTCATGTTGTAAATTTTGGGTAATTACAATTTAGAATTATTGTATTTCATTAATGTATTTTAAGACTTTTTATTTAGTTTAGGTTACAATTAGTTAATTAAAGTCATTAATTATGACCATTAAGTATGAATGTTACAATTGGAATGCCTTTAACATTTCGGGCTATATAAAGTCATGTATGTTGTATTTGTAAGTAGACTTGAAAATATAGTAGAAGAAGCACTTTATGTTTTTTTTTATTTTTAGCCAATGACTAAGTTTCTTTGCAATTATATGCAGTTTAGGTTGCATGTAGAATCATTCAAGCTCGACGTGATCAATCTTGCTTGTGAAGTGATTTGAATCTCAATTAAGAGTTCTTGCCTTGAGATATTTGATCAACAAGAATCATTCAAGCTATACATGATCGATTTTGCTTGTGGAGTAATTCGAATTTCAACCAATGTTTTTTCCCTGAAATATTTGATCAACAAGATAATCCGAATCTTACTCCCATTGTAGTGATTCCTTATCATATCATTGGGGATCCATGTGCACAGACATGAGCGTGTGTGTAGAGAAATACTACACATCCAACATATTTTTTAATCGGATATTTTTTGACTAAGTATTTATCATAGATTACAAGTATTTTTGGAATTTTTTTAAAATTGATATTATTAAATAAATTAAACTAGTTTTATTTATTTAGCAAAAAAAAAAAAGAAAGCCGAATCCAGTGTAACGCGCGCAGGCGTGGTACCCTGCGTCTCGGAGTCTTCTCTTTCGCCCATTATTGTCTTCCAATCCAGCAAAGAACCCTATTTCCCGTCTTCTCTCTGTTCCACTCTTTCTGTAACAGTCACAGAAAACACCAAAATTCGATCCAATGTTCAGTTAAGATTGTTCCATTCTTCCACATTTGTTTGCAATAATTGTACTCAGTTTCTTCAACAAAATTCCGTTGGTTTCAAATAAGGAGGGAAGAGATTGAGAGATGGGAAGTAACTTTCCCTCTCTTCCATTGAAGCGATCAGTATCACACATGCCGGCGACTGGAATGGCTGATACACACGTCGGCATGGCCAATGGTTCATCTAAGTCGAAGAGGTCCAAGCAACCTCCGCCGCTCATCATTCCTCCGGGCCATATCGCGTTTCGAATGCTCTGCCACGCTTCAAGAATCGGCGGGGTTATTGGGAAGTCGGGCTTTGTGATAAAGCAACTTCAGCAGTCCACCGGAGCGAAGATTCGCGTTGAGGAAGCTCCCAGCGAATCGCCGGACCGGGTTGTTACTGTGATTGGACCGCCGGCACTTACCTCCAGGGTGTTCCTGGATCAAAACCCTAGCGGCCCTGGGGCTAATGGGGAGGAATTCGAGGCGTCGAAGGTCCAAGAGGGGCTTCTGAAGGTGTTTGAGAGGATTTTGGAGGTAGCAGCTGAGAGTGAGGGGGTTGGAGTTGGTGTCGAAGTTGGAGTTGTTTCTTGTAGATTGTTGGCGGACGTAGCTCAGGTTGGGTCAGTTATTGGCAAGGGAGGGAAGGTCGTTGAGAAGATAAGGAAGGAGAGTGGGTGTAAGATCAGGATTTTAACAGATAATTTGCCGGCTTGTGCAGGACCTTCTGACGAGATGATTGAGGTAAAGAAGAAAAAACATGTTCCTTTTCTTTTGGCTTTATCTCTCAGGTTGGAGGTTGCTGTAGTTAGATGAATTTATGGGTTTGATTTTGTGACATGGTGTCATGTCAAGAGTAAAATTAGCTCATTGCGTTCGCTGAATTCAAACTCCTCCTAGTTTTTTTGGTATGTGTTTTAGCTATCCGGTGCATTAGGCTTAGCTTCATTCATTTGGTTATTTGATTTGATTGCATCAGACGCGAAATGAAGAAGAAAGGAAGGAGGTGGGTAATTACAAAAAAAATTAGGAAGGAAAGTTGTGAGATCCCATATCGGTTGGAGAGGAGAACGAAGCATTCTTTGTAAAAGTGTGGAAACCTCTCCCTATCATACGCATTTTAAAAACCTTGAGGGGAAACCTGAAAAGGAAAGCCTAAAGAGGACAATATCTGCCGGCGGTGATTATATTTCTCCTTGGTTGTAATGAGATAATTTAGAAACCATTACGGTATAGATTTGCCTGGCGTGAGATATGAGAGTTTTTAGAGGGGTAGAAATGGACTACAGTGAAGCTCAATGCTTCTCGTCATGGTTTGTAGATATTAGTTATGTCTGTTTCAGTAATTGGAGCCATTATTTTGTGACCTTATTTGTTTTTTTGTGTGTTCGCTGTTTGTTAGCCGTATAGCCTCCATCTTCAATTTTTTTCAATTGCTTGACATTTTATTAAAAAGGAAACCCATGTTGATATAGATGATAGATGTTGAACTTGACAGTGTATAGATGGGGAAAAAACAACAAAATTGTTGTTCTCCAAAAGGTTGATACTTAATCAATGTCTCTTGTTGAAACTAATATAAGGGATTGATAATACTTTCCTTGCTCCCAATGGTTCGTGTAAGATGCTTATTCGATACACATGCATTTTACCTCATAATGGAAAATAAGCTGAATGGTTTGCTTATAAAGGAAAAATTTATAGGAAGGTTGAGCTCCTGTAGATTTTCATTATTCTTTTCATTCAATCAATGTGATTTTAATGGAATTTGATGTCTGCCATGGTGGAAGTGTTTTTTTTTTTCCGGTTTGTTTTTCTGAAAGAGTTATTTGTTTATATATTTATTTTTGTGTAGTTATTTTATTTTATATTTTTGCTCAGAAACAAAAATGTGAAGGAGTAAAATGAGCTGGTGGCGGAGATGGGGGAAGAGGCGTGAGTACACCATTCTTCTTCAGCTGCTCTCCAAACCAAGCTAGATAGTTTCTGGAAACGATCATATATATCACCTGTTATGGAACTTAAGTAACCTCTTGTTAGTTTGGACAATACATATGTAGAACGCCTAGGTTCCGGAGCGGTTAAGTTTAATTCTAAACAATTTCCTCTCCTGTAAAGGTTCAGAATCAGTCTCGTCACCACTTTGTGTAAAATCGTGAGGTATGAATATGTTAGATACCCCGTCAGAAAGAAACGAAACAGCCTAGGAGCTGGGGAAAGAGGAATCCCACCCAAGGAAGCTAAAGGAGAGCTTTCCAGTTAATTATTATGGAAAGGCTGAATTTTGAAAAGAATTTTGTGTGACTAGTATGCCACCCGGAGGAGGTGAGTTGTAATTTCTCTACAAAAAATATTAAAAAAAAGAAAGGACCTATCTTCCAATGTTTTTTGTTCCCGTCTAATCACATATCGTGAGTGCTTAAACGTCAATGTACCATAGACCACAAAACAAAATCAACTTTATTTGGAATTTTTCTCTTCCAGATTGAGATAACAAGGGAGTACTTCAGTCTTGGGGCTGTTTCCATGAGTTTCATGAAGGCAGACTTCAAAGAGAATTTTCCCCTGCCTCGAGAGACCAAAAAACTCTGACGTTTCCTTCTTCCAGATGCTATATATCCTGCAATTCAACCAAACCAATCTAGCTTTCTACTTCCCTGTCAAAAAGGCCTATTTCAGGCCTAAATCCCAGTCCTTTCAATCCTCTTTCCAGCAATCCGCTATGGTTTGCCTCCTCCTTGGTCGGTTTATTGATTTTTTTTTTTTTTTTTAAATTAATCTCAAGGAATCTTTCCCTAGCCATTGATCTTTCCTGACTTCGATTTTACTCCATGGTTAGCTTTGAAATCCAGAAAATGGAAAAACGAAACCATTATTCGGACTATATCAAAGCATAGTCTATCTTTGGATCTATCGTTAGGAGGGAGGGTCCTCCACTCTTGAGGATTCTCATCATAAATGCTTGAGATCACCTTCCTCCACGTAGCCTCTTTATCTCCGCTTGAGGAGGAGGGCAATATTTTTTTCTTGACGCAAAGCCCAATCCCATATTGAAGGGGAAGGGAAGTCTTACCCCAATTCACTAGGTGGTTGTAAGGCCGGCAACTACTACCATTCCAGAGAAAATTCCTCACGGATTTGTCGAGCTCATCAGTAACTTCCTTTGATGCTTGAAAACTGGTTGAGCAAGCATCAGACACACTCCCGTTGAAAGCGTTAAATTACTGCAATTGTCTATTTTTTTCTAGACTTGTCTATCATATGCTCCCAAAAGTTTGTGAAGTCATGGAACCTTATTAGTGAGAAGAAGTAGAACTGAAGTAGATAGACTGGGATGCAGATTGGTTCCTGTTTTCCTATTTGATGAAAATCTCCTTTTAGACCAATAGAAATTTTGTATTTTACCCGTATTTTTTGTCGGTTGATATAATTTTTATGATGGTAGACTAGTTTTCTTTTGCAGTGGGATATTCCATTTTGTTTTATTTGTTTCGGTGTGTGTGTAAACATAGTACTTGGTTTGTGAGGAGAACCGAAGTAAAGAAGGTAGATCACCATGCAGCTTTACCCATGATCTCTTTAAAGAAAAATTTCCTTTTGGTCCTGATTTTGTTTCATCAAATATATATATATATGTATATACGTATATATATATATATATATATATATATATATATATATATATATATATATTGCAAACGATTTGTTTCCTAGAATGAGTATGAGTTGACCTCTAAATGAGTTTAAATTATGGTGGTCTTGTACCCCATATTTAAAATCCTATGCCCTTGACCGTGAGATTACTCAAGGTGTGTTAAAGTTGCCTTGGACACTTATGGGTACAAAAAGAAATTGTGACTTATGAAGGTTTGGTAGATCTTTTACTTTCATCAACTATGTTCCTTTGCTTATAGTTTTTTCATTCGCAAAATTTTGTTTTAGAAAATGAGTTTCTTGTGTTAATCCAATCATGACATGCGTGAGACACTTCTCACAAGTCATAAAAATTAAGTTTCAATTCATCTTACCACTTTCATATTCAGTTTACTATTGTTGAATGTATAGTTTTTTTTAGTAGGAAATTACTTAGAACATGTAGAAGATGTTGGTATCTGCCGAACTATTTGCTTAACTACGTATTTGCTGTTGTGAATATACTATGGTTTCTGGCAGATAGAAGGGGATGTTTTGGCGATTAAGAAAGCACTTCTTGCTGTATCTCGCTGTCTTCAAGACTGTCCTCCAAGTGACCAGATGAGAACATTTGCAAGTAGACCTTCTGAAGCAGTCATCCATGAGACTTTACCTGATCTGCATATGGATCATATTTTGCAGCGGAATTCAATTCCACCCATCTTTCCAAGCAGTTCAAGCATTTTTGCTTCAGGAATCCATTCATTCTCTCTAGATGCTGATGTTCTGTCCCCAGGAGACACGAACATTTTGCAGCAGGAAGTTGTTTTTAAGATTCTTTGTGCCAGCGATAGGATTGGGGGTGTGATTGGCAAGGGTGGTACAATTATTAGAGCTCTACAGAATGAATCCGGTGCCACTGTAAGTGTTGGACCATCAGTAGTTGGTTGTGATGAAAGACTGATTAGTATTACTGCTTCTGAGGTGTGACATTCTTTTGTAGTCAATCCTTTGTTACTATTATGTACCAACACTAATCTTTTTATTGTTTCAACTTGGGAAGAACATTGAATCGCGATACTCGCCAGCACAAAAGGCTGTTGTTCTCGTTTTCTCTAGGTCTGTAGATGTGGCAATTGAGAAGGGGCAAGACATGAGCTCAGGGAAGGGATCGCCTGTTGTGGCACGGCTTGTTGTTCCATCGAATCAAGTTGGCTGTGTGTTGGGAAAAGGAGGTGTTATAATCTCTGAGATCAGGAAGGTTACAGGTACAAACATAAGAATAATATCGAGTGAGCAGGTCCCGAAGTGTGCTGCAGAGAATGATGAAATAGTGCAGGTGAGAATGAAATACACTTCGTTTTTGCTGGTGCTAAATAGTTATTCCTTTACTACCCCTACTTTCTTTCAACTTTGCACCCAGCCTCCCCTCCCAGGCGGCCCATGTTCAAATCCTCTGCGTTTATATAAGATATATTTTCCTTCTTGATTAAATAGTTTTCAGATGAGCTTGTGACTAACACGGGCTTTCCCGCATCCTTTGTTGGTATCCCCAACCCACCCATACATGCGTTAATAATCGATCGAAATCGATGCTAAATTTTGCAATGAATCTTGATGTTGTGCCCTTTATTTTTTTAGCTATAACATATTTTCCTTCTGACAGATTTCAGGAGAGTTTTCAAATGTTCAAGATGCTTTGTACAACGTAACTGGTCGACTGCGGGATAACCTTTTTTCTAGTGCGCTGAGTAATTCTGGAACAAGGAACGGCGCTGGTACCTCTATTTATCATGAGACCAGCCCATATGGAAGAGTAAGGGACCCCGCACCTCTAGTTCGGACAACTCCGGTTGCCACTTCTCATGGTAGTTTTATACAACATACTACAGCTCAAAATACAGATGACTTGGGTCTTTCTCATAGTTTAGACAGTTCATCATCACCTGGGTTTTGGGCATCGCAGGTAGATTCTCCTTCCCACACCCCCTCCAAAAGGGGTGAAAAAACGGTTAACCTTTGCCAATTCCAATTCTCTGTTCTTCTTTGTACATGATTGCAGTCTTTATCTGGAGTAAGTTCTAGGGACATGTCAGATGCTGGTAGAGGTTTGCCATCTCATAGGGGCGGAGTACAACATGGAAGGTCGGTAACACACATTCTAACAGTTCGAATATCTTTGAAATTTTAAAATATGGGCACTGGATCATCTTGTTGCTACATGTTCTCTTGGCATCCTCAATTTACCACGAACATAGGAACGCCGAACGGCGAGAACCATCAAATTATATTTTAACGCTTACTGGATTTCTTTGGATTCTGTCTAGCTTGCGTCTAACTGGCATAGGAGTAGCATTCTGATGTTGCTTCCCAAAATTTCAAATCATCATTTCAAGACTTCTAACTTTTTCATTCATGTTGGCAGTGGGAGCAAAACAGCTGTAGTGACGAACACGATGGTCGAAATTGTAGTTCCTGGCGATGTTATCAGCTTAGTGTATGGAGAGAATGGCACAAATTTAGCTCGTCTAAGACAGGTAAAGACAATGTTTCAAGTGTGAGTTTCATAATAGAATGACGAACTTCACTAATCTTGGTTATGGTTCTTTAAGTTACCTAAAATAGAGTCAGGTGTGTATAGTTAATAGAGATCCTGTGGAACAACATTTAGAGATGGGCAACATAAATGCATTTGGAGCTAACAACCGTAATTAGAAAGTGATAAGAATTCGTTAAACCACAACCGTAATTAGAAACGAGAAAATGTATTTATTAAGAATGATGCGGGTCGGGTCGGGTCCATGGAATAAAATGGTACATCATTTATGTGCCGTTTGGAAATCTATTTGTTTGTTTGTTTTTTTTTTCTTTGGGGGTTGAATTACAAATCTAGTTCATAAATTTTGACGATGATCTCTGGTTAGTATATAAACTTTTAATACTTTTGTCTCGAAAGTTTAAATCGATTTTATGCCGTTTATATTGTGAATTACATGATGATGTGACATGTCTATTTGATAAATATCGACTAATTTAGCCGAATATAGTAGCAGAAAGAGTTAGACTTAATGAAGTAGCACGTCCAAAAACACGTAACTATCCCAGAAATGAAAGACCCTTTACGTGTGCCTTTCTCGGATCGTCTTTTTTTCCTTTTGTATTTCTACTGTATTCTACAAACTATTTGTATGTTGTAAGCTACATTCATCGTATACGAATGAATGATTAAACACATTCACTCCACTGCTGTCATTTTGTAGAACTGATATATGGTTAAATATCTATCTATGGTTTCCCTCTGGTTTGATCAGATATCTGGGGCGAAGGTGACGGTGCACGAACCCGATCCCATAACGAGTGATCAGCTTATCGTGATATCTGGAGCACCTGATGAAACCCAGGCAGCACAAAGCCTCCTCCACGCATTCATTCTCACTGGATCCTCATGACAAAATTTTATGCATAGCAGGTTTTTGAATCCCTCCCTCCCTGAAAATGTTGTACACTTAAAAATTCAACTCAGGGCGATAAGTTTATTGCAATCGTGTTAGTTTATTTTGTTTCCTGCAGCAAATTATAAATAGATAACCCTCTGACGCCCTCCCTTGAAGGAAAAAAAAAAAAAAAAACCCCACAAAAAAGAAGCTTGAGAACATATTAATACATTTGTATGATTGTTCACCACTTGATCTTAACGAATTCTTTGTGATTGACTTTCCAAAGGGAAAAAAATGTAAGTAAAAAAACCCTTTTGGTCCATGAATAGGGATGTTCGTGCAGTGGGAGTCCATGAATAGAGATGTTCGTGTGGTGGGAATGGGGAAGCCTTCTCTGTTCTCATCCCCTCTACTTATTTCATTCCATCTCTGCAAAATTTTATTTTTTTCTTTGTGGGAATCGGGATGGGATTCTCTGTAGTGAATTGACAGGGATCGGGTTCTCAGTTAGGAATTTCTCCCGATTTATTATTCTTTTGAAAACATAGTTCTTTTAGTGTGTACATTTTATTTTTCAATATAAACTATTAATTGATTGGTGTTGATTTACTCTCGTTATTTTAATGGGAGTTGAACTATAATGTTGTAAATTATTATTAATGAATGTTTAAATTGTTAGGACGAAATTGGATGACATAATTTTCGAATATAAGAAAAACACTTAAAAAAAAAAAGATTAGTTTTTTTTCCGACTAATAATTTAGTAGTTGATGAAGCGGCAAAAGTAAAATAACTTAAATGATATAAATTAGTCAAATTAATTAAAAAAAAACTAATTCAAATATCAAAAACATATTATAAATGAAAACAATAGGGAAAGTTCTCCACGAATTTGAAAATAGAACTTAAAAAGTCTCTCTTTGAAGTAGGGACGGGATATGTTAGAAAATTAGGCAGATGGAATGGGGAAAATAATTTCCGACCGGTTTATACAACGGAGAAAAATCTCATTCCCTTCTCCATTCTCTGTTTAAACGAAAATTCTTACCTTTTGTCCCTTTTACCCCATTTATACAACGAAGAAAAATCTCATTCTTTTCTCCATTCTCTGTTTAAACGAAAATTCTTACCTTTTGTCCATTTTTCCATTACGAAAGAGAATAAAAATGAAAAGAGGCCAGAATTGTTATTAGCACAGAGATTTTGGCTCCTTTTGCCCTTTTTTTTTTTCTTTTTTATTTTATTTTATTTTATTTTATTTAAATTTCAATAATTAAAATTGTGAAATCAAAAGATTAAAGAAAGAAAAAGAAAATTATAATAATCTTGTTATTTATTTTTATGTTATTTTGAGAGTAAAAAAAATTAGTATGATCGTGTTCTAATGGTTGAATTTAGAGAAATATTAGCAAAAAAAAAAAAAAAAAAAAG